CTACAGCCTGCTTCGGATTCTATGTCTCCCTCTCTTTCTGCCCCTCCCCTGCTCACACTCTGTTTCTCTCTCTCTCTCAAAACTAAATAAACATTTAAAAAAACTAAAAAATAAGAAGTACACATATTATAACCTGTAGAAGCAAACATATGAGTAAAAATGGATTACAGAATGTTCATGACCACGTTATTTGAAATTATGAAAAGTTAGACGCAGTTTTAATATATATAAATAAAAATGCTTAAATAAATTATGGTACATTCAGTCAGTCATTGGGCTATTTATTGTACTTAGCTGCCTTTTAAAAGAATGAGGTTAACGGGGCTCCTGGGTGGCTCAGTCGGTTAAGCTTCCGACTTGGGGTTAGGACATGATCTTACCACTTATGAGTTCAAGCCCCGAGTCAGGCTCTGTGCTGACAGCTCAGAGCCTGGAGACTATAGCCTGCTTCAGATCCTGTGTCTCCCTCTCTCTCTCTCTGCCTGTCCCCCATTTACACTCTGTCTCTCTCTCAAAAGTAAACAAACATTAAAATTTAAAAATAATAAAAGAATGAGGTAGAACTACATGAACTGACCTAAAAAGATGTCATTGATCATATTTTAAGTTTATTTATCTTGAGAGAGAGCACGCGCGTGAGTGCAAGTGGGTAAGGGGCAGTTAGAGAATCCAAAGGAAGCTCCACACTATCAGACCCCAACCTGGGGTTTGAACCCATGAACCAAACCATGACCTGAGCCAAAATCAAGAGTCAGATGCTCAAACAACTGAGCCACCTAGGTGCCCCAAGATGTCAAATTATTAAATGACAGAAACAAAAACAAGTTGAAAAATAAAAAATACGCATACATGAAGACATGCTAAGTACTGTACCTATTATATTTCTAGATATAAGTGGTTATATCTGCTACTTTGGAGGGAAGAATAGGGTTTTTTAGGGGGAGATACTAAGAGAAGGGGTAAGGAGGCCATTTGTTTACCACTTTGTATTTTTCTAAGTGTTGTATTTCAATGTTTTAAATGTATTATTTATTTTGAGAGAGAGGAAGAGAGAATCATAAGCAGGCTCCGTGCTGTCAGCTCAGAGCCCGACGTGGCACTCTATATTCACGGACCAGAAGATCATGACCTGAGGTGATATCAAGAGTCGGTCAGTCAACCATCTGAGCCACCCAGGCACCCCTTGTTAAAAAAAAATTTTAGGGGCTCCTGGGTGGCTCAGTGGGTTAAGCATCTGCCTTCAGCCCAGGTCATGATCTCACGGTTCATGAGTTCAAGGTTGAAACCCCACAACAGGCTCTCTGCTGTGTTTACAGAGCCCACTTTATGTCCTCTGTCCCCCCAACCCCCCGCCCATCCCTGGCTGCGTCTCTCTCTCCCTCTCTCTCTCTCACAATAAATAAATAAACTTGAAAAAAATGTTTTTAAGAGACTAGATGAAGATCTTTGGCCGCATGATGTGTTAAGGCCTGCTTTGAATTTAGGGTTCTGATATTTGTCTACTGTCTGGCAGAAACTACACCACATTTTCAAAATTACAGACTTCTTATTCCTCCTTACAAGAGACCATCAGTTTGCAGGAACTGTTCATTAGAGCTGTATGCTAGTTTCTTTTATTATCAAACTACAGGTGTAGGTTTACTAGGCCCCTGTTTTAAGTGAGAGGACTTGAGGTATAATTACGATGTTCTGGTTATTATCCACGATCTTGTGGAGAATTCTACTAAAAGCAATGTATGTTACCTGTAGCTATCATGGACAAAAGATTTGACTCTTTAGACAAGATTCTGTTACAGATTAAATAATAAGAGCTCTCTATACATATTTCGTTATTAATGTACACATAAAGACCATACCATACGTTCCATATTAGTAAGTGGGTCAGAGTTGGCAGACAGCCTCCACAGGATCAGGTCATCTTCAGCATCTGAAATTAGGGCTGTGCTTTTTGGCTCCTTTTTAACTTGAATCTCAGTGCAAAACTGCTCTTAATTAAACCAGATGCATACCCCTGGCCGTAAAGCATAGAAAAAGAAGTGTCCCATGTGTTTTTTTTGTTTTTTTTTTTTTTTTTTTTTTTTTATTTATTTCTAGGAGAGAGAGAGATAGCGTGAACAGGGGAGGGTCAGAGAGAGAGGGAGACACAGACTCTGAAACAGGCTCCAGGCTCTGAGCTGGCAGTCAGCACAGAGCCCGATGCGGGGCTCGAACCCACGATCCGCGAGATCATGACCTAAGCGAAAGTCGGACGCTTAACCGACTAAGCCACCCAGGCGCCCCGTGTCCCATGTGTTTTTGAAATGATCTTACTGTTACAGATCTGGAGAGGACACATCAGACAACTGGTCTTTTATCCAGCTACTTACAGTTACCTAACCAAGATTATACTGATCAGAAATTATGCAAACCTAATCTCTTCATATCTGGAAATCCCATGTAGCACACTAAATCATTGAGTTCCTCAGGTATACAAGTAACAACTGCTTAATTATTAACTAGACCAAGTTGGCCAGGGAAGTTCTATCTCTCTAAATCAAAAGTTCTATAGACATGTTAATGAAGCCAATTTTTTTTACCGTGTTAAGCAACTGGCTGTATCACCTTCTATGAACATTTTCCAAACGAAAGTCATCTTAGCTATGCTCTGTGGTATAGAATTTTGAGCAATTCATTAACCATTTATTGACATGCTGGAAATAACTTATAATTTTGTCTTGAGGAAATAAAACACAATGCAGAAGGAGGGTGGTGCTTTATTGGGGTGAAGTCATGGTTAGGCCCGTTATTTTCCATCAAAGGATGACAGATGTAGTTGTTCACTGGTTTGAAGTATAGGGATCAATCATTAATCCACAACTAAGGATATTTCAACTGTAGGACTTCATAAGAAATATAATCCTTGCAGTACCCTAATCTTATAAAAACTTCAGCTAAGAGAAGTGATATTTATAGAAGAGTGTCTGAAGACATTCATGATTCCTTTAAGTATGCTATATTCTGTCTGTGGTGGGCACTGTAATTTCCAGCATCCACTTCAGGCCAGTTAATTAGTCTAAACTTGTCACAGTGATTGGTTAAGGCCTAAGCCAATTTAGGCTAATGAGATCTGAGAAGAGGCTTTATTGCAGTATAAATGCCTACCTATCTCTCCCCTCAGAATGAACAAAGACACATGTTGATCCAGTATTTGCTGGCATCCATCCTGTGACTATAAAGAAAAGAGCTCTTCGGACCAAGCTGATGCTGTTCCTAGCAGAATCAACAGAAAATTGCTGATGACATTGTAGATCCCCTAAATCAATTAACCTTGAGATGCAGGCAGCCTGGTCTTTGTATTTCCTTTTGTCTGAAATAACCTCCCTTACTGTTTAAGCCCATGCCAGTTAGAGTTTCTGTTACTTGCCAAAAGCAACCTTGGATCAACTGGACTGTCAGAAGCTTGCATTTTCGTATGTTATTTTGTTTTTTTAACTATCAGAAAGGTGCTACAGGATGTGACCATATGAAATCTGTGAATGAATTTACTATGGGACTTTATCTACCAAATCTAAGTAGACTCTCCTTTTTTTTTTTTTTAAATTTTTTTTTAATGTTTTATTTATTTCTAGGAGAGAGAGAGAGACAGCGTGAGCAGGGGAGGGTCAGAGAGAGAGGGAGTCACAGACTGAAACAGGCTCCAGGCTCTGAGCTGGCAGTCAGCACAGAGCCCGACGCGGGGCTCGAACCCACGAACCGCGAGATCATGACCTAAGCGAAAGTCGGACGCTTAACCGACTAAGCCACCCAGGCGCCCCTAGACTCTCCTTTGAGAAATTTCTCTTAGTAGTGCTAGAAAGAGCTCTGATTTTGTGGTATAATGTATATGTTTCTTCTTTTCTGTTGAGAATATTTTGTTTATGCTACCAAGAAATTTAAAGCTAAATGTGAGACTCCTTTCTAGCAACTGTGTAGGCTTTTACAAGGGTACATCTGTTTCCTTTCTGGTTTTAGTTTGCTACTTTAAAAAATATTTTTCATGTTCCTCATAGTTTATTTGTATTTATTATTATTTGCTTCTGATCCGGGCCATCTCAAGTACTCTGGAGACAAATTTAATAAATAAAAATGAAATAGATTCCAGAGTTACAGCTGACATACTGATTTACATATATATCAGATTAAGATATGCATGAAATTTTGCTAACTGACTGAGCCACCCAGGTGCCCTTAGAATTTATAAAATTCTTAAAGCAAAATTAACTTTAATTTACTTAAACCTTTAAAGCCTATGCTATACTACACTTGTTGCCACTTGCAGAAGAGTTTAGCTTATTACTTAGCAAAATGACCTTTACGGGTGCTCATGAGTAAGGAGGGCTTTAAAAAGACATGACCCCTGCACTTATTGCCAGGATGCCCTGACCTGTTTTTACAAGTGGCTTATAGTGTTGTGTAGGGAGTCATCACACTTTAAGCAAATCAGTTATTTCCAGTAACAATGCTTCAAAATAAATATTTAATCTCTGTAAGACTACGTAAATTCTAGGCAGTGTTTCCTGACATTAATGTGTTAAATGAGATTTATAATTTCCTAAATTAGAATTAAATACTGATTTAACATTTTATAGTTAATAATTTTCAGGTGTTACTCTATTATTTAATCTTTTTTCCTTCATAACCGTAAAATTCTTTATAAAGTTATCTCTCCCCTAGCCATCTTTTTGATAACTAGAAGTGTAAAAATTATTTTTTTACTTTTAACAAATTGTATCAGAAATATTTTATCATCCCTTGATGTAAGTAACTGAACTTGTATGGTACTTTTACATACATTCTCAAGTAAAAGATTGCCCAGTGTTTCATATGGGCAATATTAAGTTGTAAGTTGCTCCAGCTTTTGTGTTTGTTCAAAAGAACTTCTCTCTTTTTGTGCATGTGTTAACATAGCCAACTTATTTATAGGTAAAAGTCAAGAGAAACTACTTTATCATGTAATAAAGCTTGTCTCCCTCTCTTTTTAGGATATTTTCTTTTCTGGATGTTGTTACCTTGTGTCGCTGTGCTCAGGTCTCCAGGGTAAGAATGGTTGATATGACTATAGGGGGTGCCTTCTGGATACTGATGATATCAGCCTCTTTAGTAGGCAGATAATTTACTTCAAATGTTAGTTGTATGTTATGTTTCAGAGAGTGTTATTTCATCCATGGCATTTCCAAACCCATGTAATTCTACAGTAAGATTCTACTATATGTCTCTATCAAATTTTTGGGACTTTTTTTTTTTTTTCTTTAATTCTGGGAGAGACGGGCAGGAGGGCAAAGGGAGAGAAGGAGAGAGACTCTCAAGCAGGCTCTGCGCTGCTATCATAGAGCCCAGTTCAGGGCTTGAACTCACTAACCATGAGATCATGACCTGAGCTAAAGTCAAGAGTCGGACACTTAACCAGGTGAGTCACCCAAGCTCCCCAGGTTTTTGGAACTCTTGACTATCTGTGTGATGTAAATAGAGGAAACATATTTAAGGAAAAAGTATTATGCATGCAAATCAAAAGGTTAGGCTCTCCTCAGAATTATAACAACATAGTGTTTCATTATGTTTTCTTAATTCATTCTGTATGCACACACATACACACATACCACATACAGAAGACTCTTAAGAATCTAATTCTCATGTTATTTCCCATATTGCTTTCAATTGTCAATTGTTTTCAGTTTCCCATATTATCAAAAGATAATAGCTAGAAATTAATTTATTAAAAAAACTATAGGGCATTCTCTATGTTAGTTTTTTATTTCACTTAATTATCTAGTTTTGTTAATTGACATTGTTTGACAAAACTGAAACATTATAATCTTATTGGCTGCCACTAATATAAAGAATGGATTCTGTAATGCTGATGCATAGGAGCACATACACCCCAATGTTCATAGCCGCACTCTCAACAATAGCTAAAACATGGAAAGAGCCTAAGTGTCCATCAATGGACGAATGGATCAAGAAGATGTGGTTTATCTATACCATGGAATACTACATGGCAATGAGAAACAATGAAATCTGGCCATTGTAGCAACATGGATGGACCTTGAGGGTGTTATGCTGAGCGAAATAAGTCAGGCAGAGAAGGACAAATATCACATGTTTGCACGTATAGGAGGATTAGGAGGAACAAGGGGGAGAAGAAGGGGGGAAATGGTGGGGGAAAGGGAGAGAGGCAAACCATGAGAGACTCTTGAATGCTGACAAAAACCGAGGACTGATGGATGTGGGCGGGAGGGGGGGATGGGCATGGAGGAGGGCACTTGTGGGGATGAGCACTGGGTGTTATGTGGAAACTAATTTGACAATAAACTATTTGTAAAAAAAAAAAAAAAAAAAAAAAAGAATGGATTCTGTGTTGCGTTATAGAAAAATTGCTTTATGGGTCATTCTACTCTCTTTTGTAACACAGATATATAATGATTAACTTAAAATGAATGAGCACCTGCAGTCATCTTTTTTTATAAGCTGGGTAATGACTTTTTGCTTTTTCGTTTAGTAAATATTGATTGAGAAACTACTGTGTATCAGATACAGTTCTAGGTGCTGGATATGTAACACAGTTCTATTATAAAATATGGTGTTTATCTTTGTAGGTGTGTACAGGTTTTCAAATATCCAACACTACTCCCCTCAAAATAAACCACAAAACTTGCCATAGAAAATTCACCGTGTCTTGATAACTTTAATGTAATTCTGCATCATAAAATCCATACTAAATCTGTGTATTAGCTACTTTGGAAACAAGCAGCATTTTGATGATTTCTCTTCATGACTTTTTTGTCCCCTATACTTGAGTGGTTGCTTTAGACATGCCTGGTACAAATGAATAGGGTTTCTTTAATATCTCCATATGAAGCTGAGGTCATCATTGAGCAACAAAATACCCCAACCAATGTCTAAACTGTTTAGTTGCAGAGTCTCATCTCATGAATGTTGATTTAAGTGAATTTTAATTGTTTTCGTTTGCAGGTTTCTCTTCCCTTTTAATATGTTTTAACTTAAAGGAAAGCACAACACCAGTTTTCATTAATTGGAGAGTTGGTACATCAGTAGTTATCCTGTTCTCTGTAATTTAACTAGTTAATGAATTTGTTCTTTTAAAAACAGATTCTAGGGGCACCTGGGTGGCTCATTCAGTTAAGCTTCTGACTTTGGCTCAGGTCGTGATATCATGGTTCATGAGTTCAAGCCCTGCATCTGGCTCTGCTGTCACTGCAGAGGCTGCTTCAAATCCTCTGTCCCCCTCTCCATCCCCACCCCTCACCCCATCATGGGATCTAGCCATGCATAGGCCCTATGCTAGCAGCACTGGGCCTGCTTGGGAGTCTCTCTCTCCCTCTCTTTGCCCCTCCCCTGCTCACTTGCTCTGTCAAAATAAATAAATGAACTTTAAAAAAAAAAAAAAAAGGACTCTAGAAAGGAACCTCTCATTCCTAATTCTAGTGTCTGTTTGGTAGATTTCCTGTTTACTGGAGAAAGTAGTATAAGGAAATGAGAAATATCAAAAATCAGAAGTGTACTTAGCCTAAGAATCTAATAAACATATGATCTTTAAAAGTTTTATTGGGGCATCTGGGTGGCTCAGTTGGTGAAGCGTCTGACTTTGGCTTAGGTCACGATCTCCTGATTTGTGGGTTCGAGCCCTGCATCGAGCTCTGTGCTGACAGCTAGCTCAGAGCCTGGAGCCTGTTTCAGATTCTGTGTCTCCTTCTCTCTCTTACCCTCCCCTGCTCATGCTGTCTCTCTCTCAGAAATAAATAAAATGTTAAAAAATTTTAAAAACAAAAAAATAAAAATAAAAGTTTTATCTTTTGTCTCCCATGGCTAGCCATTTAAGAAACCATGAGACCACAAAAAAAAGCAACATTGACCTTCTGAGAAAACCTTAAAGATTTCCAGAATAACTTTATTTATTGTGTGACATTTAACCTGTGCTTATAAGTATATCCACAATTTCCTTTCTTGTATCTCAGTATTGACTGTTTCAGTGTGATGCAGTAAGACATGATATGCTAAGTTTATAACTCAACAATACTAAGACTTTTGTTTCCACTTTAATAAGGAAAACTTTTAAAGACTTTCTCATTAAAATACAAAATGATCCACACAAATTAGAAACTAAATCTTCCAGTTAGAAAAGAGTTTCTGACTAGGATACTATCACAACTTGTCTTTTCCCAACTCCCCCCACCTCCTACCCCAGCTGCTAATTTCTATACCCATTTATTTATGAGATAATCTAATTGGGTAAAGTATGAATCAGAAATAAGGCAGACCTTTTGGGAGTTAATGGGGGGAGGGGAGAGCTGAGAAATTTTTTGGTCAGTTTCAATCTTTAGTTTGAATTGTGAACTTGCACATTGTTGATTTTCCCCCTTGAGCTTCTGCTCATTTTGTCTCTTTTTTCAAAACAGGCCTGGAATGTTCTGGCCCTGGATGGCAGTAACTGGCAGCGAATTGACCTGTTTGATTTCCAGAGGGATATTGAGGTATAATTATGTGGTGTGTGGCCCCATTTCTCATGTTAGAATGTAATTACAGCATGGAACAGATTAGCCTGAACCATATAAATCTCCTTTCCCTGGAGAGAGAAACTATTAATTTCACTGCATCTGAACTTCATGGGAACTGCAATGTTCCCAACAGCTTGCTCATTTTTTGAGAATAAGCAGAACTATTTTACTGATAGAATACTAAATTATTTAGTATTAATAGGACTACCATTTTTTGCTTTTATTTTTGTGGTGGAATTGTGAACATGTTGCTCATTGTAAGGCAGTCTTTCTATATTTGCTTATTGAAGTATGAGTATACTTAACAGTTTGTTGGGGGATATTTGCATAAATTCTTCTTGAGATGAGCATTTTGGTTTTTTGGGAGCCTACAGACAGTTTTTATGCAGAACGAAAAAAGAATAAAGCCAAGTCATTTAATGAATTACTTTGCTCGGGAGAGATTTTTTTTCACTTCTCACTTTTCTGCTGTATTTCATCTTAGTATATAGCCTATTATCTCTAAGCCAGAGAAGGATAATAATGGCTTAAGCTTAAAATTATTTTAACATGAACCTGAGCTCTGTGATGGTTGGTTTTCTTGTTGGGAGAAATAATAGCTTCCTCATTTGTTATAAGGATAAAATGAGATTTAGATTTAAAACATTTTATTTTAAGTTCCAGTGGAGCTTGTCTTGTGGATCCATATAAGAAGTTTTTAGGGGCACCTGAGTGACTCAGTTAACTGTCCTGCTCTTGCTTTGAGCTCAGGTCATGATCTCACAGTTTGTTGATTGAGTTCCACACTCTACGCTGACAGCATAAGGGATTCTGTCTCTCCCTCTTTCTCTACCCCTCTCCTGTTCAGGCTCTCTCTCTCTCTTAAAATAAATAAATAAACATAAAAAAAAAAAAAAAAAAAGAATGGGTAAAAGGGGCTCTGGGAGGCTCTGTAAGTTAAGCGTCCAACTTCAGCTCAGGTCATGATCTCACAGCTTGTGAGTTCAAGCCCCATGTCGGGCTCTGTGCTGACAGCTCAGAGTCTGGACCTTCCTTCAAATTCTGTGTCCTCTCTCTCTCTCTTCCTCCCCCACTCACTCCCTGTCTCTCAAAAATAAATAAACATTAAAAATGGAAAAATAGAAAAGAAAGTTTTTTAAAAAAGCCTCACATGAACTTACCATTATACATAGAACGTTCCATTTCTACAGAAGGCACTTTTAAAATAATAGCCACTGACATTATGCAGGATTCTTATATTTTCCACAGTTGTCTAATCTTCATGGATATGAACATTTAAAGCAACGTGGCCCACAAAATCATTCAGCAAGGTTTTGTTAAAGTGTCCATTGAGTCTCTGCTGTATTGAGAGTACTATAGTAACACTTTGGAGAGGATTCAGAAATAATAAAGGAATCTAATGTCCTCCAGTAGCTGCAGTTTAACCAGGAGAGCAGCTTACATTAACATAGTGCATAAAAACTGCAGAGCACCATTTCCTCAACTAGAGAGTACCTTACAAATTGAACAAAATTAGCAAATAGGGTTTAACCTTGTTTTGGGTAGATAAGTTAATCAGGAAAGCAGTCTCAAATAAGTTGACATTTCTTTATTGAATTTACTACGTTTTTAAATCAAGTCAAAGCCTCTGCTTATAGATTATTAAAAATGAGGATGTGTTCTCTTCAAAAACAATGTGGTGGCTTAGTTTTTTTCGGTTTGTGTACCTGTTTTTTCTTTACAGGGTCGGGTAGTGGAGAATATTTCAAAACGATGTGGGGGCTTTTTACGAAAATTAAGTCTTCGTGGGTGTCTTGGAGTAGGAGACAATGCATTAAGGTAAGAACATAACTATTGATCAACTGATCTTCTTGGCTAAAGAAAAGAGCAGCACCATCTCATCCAGGAAAAGTTACAATAATTTTGTATATTCTTAAGGTATTCTGAAGCCAAATACACATATATTGCTTATAACACAAAAACATCCAGTACTGGGATGTATGGTTTTGAGAATAAAACAAGAACAAGTACTCCCTGCCAAAAGCCAGATTTCTCATATCCTAAATGGTCCTTTTGGAGTCGAGTAAAAATTGTTCTTAGTTTGTTAACTCAAAGTTAGGGTAGTTATAACCTTGGTTAACAAAAAGATCAATGTTTAAAAGTTTGTGGTTGAAAATGAATTTATTTGTAAATGTGAGATACTTTTGTACCAACATCCAGTATTACCAATAATATCTTTTATTATTTTATGTAATGCCTAGAATTGTGCCTATTTTGTTTCAAACCTTTAAATTTCTTCCCTGTAAAGGACCTTTGCACAAAATTGTAGGAACATTGAAGTACTGAATCTAAATGGGTGTACGAAGACTACAGATGCGTAAGTATTTTATGTTTTAGAAGCGTAGTCATAGCCCCTTGTGTCCTCTCTATGCTAGCTTTATATGTGGGCTATTAAGTATATTTAGCAAATTTCATTTTGATTTTACAGAAGGAAGATATTTTGAAAGGAGGAAACATTAAAGTAGAAATGGCATAAGAAACTTGTTTTGGAATCTGGCCCAAATCCTATCTTGATATTTAAAGTAAAACTTAAAAATTAGAGTCCGTGGATATGTGGTAGGGATACTAATACTAGACATTACTAGGACCACTTGTATTTCAAGAAGATACTAGTAGCTTTCATTCAAAAGGCAGAATACACAGATAATTCTATTAAAAATATAAAATCTTAAGTACATACTAAACAACTTTGATCATCAATACTGAGAGCTTTTGTTAAATGACCCTTTAAATGTACTATGTCTGTGTCAGTTACAGTATAAATGGAATAAAACAGTCGTTCGTCCTTGAGAGCTTACTGTCAAAGATCTAATAGACAATAAATTACCTGTTTATTGTTTTATTTTGAATACTTAATATTATTGAGATTGGGAATTTGACCACTTTGGTAAATACAAAAGTGACATAATTTACACGAAGAATAATTTTCTAAGAATCTATTCTACTACCAATAATAAGCTGACAAAAATATAGTATAATTTATGTACAAAGCTATTCATTTTTACTATTTGTAATAACAAATACTGCATTATTTTTAATAGCAAAAGACAGGAACAACCCAAATATCAATTAGTAGAGGACTGTTAAAGGAATGAGGAGAGTGTATAGTATTCTGGAGTGATCTCTAGGACATACTGTTTAAGTTAAGAGAGCAAACTGCAGGGGCACCTGGGTGGCTCAGTCAGTTAAGCGTCTGACTTCAGCTCAGGTCATCATCTCACGGTTCGTGGGCTCGAGCCCTGTGTCGGGCTCTGTGTTGACAGCTAGCTCAGAGCCTGGAGCCTGTTTCAGATTCTGTGTCTCCCTCTCTCTCTGACCCTCCCCTGCTCATGCTGTCTCTCTCTCTCTCTCAGAAATAAATAAAACAGTTAAAAAAGAGAAAAGAAAAGAAAGCAACTGCAGAGGAATTTGTATAAGATACTTTTCGTAGAGCCAGGAGGTATCCATGTTTATTTATATTTTCAAAAAGAAACAGTTTAAAGATTATAAAAATGAGTAAAAATGGTGATTTGTGGGTAAGAGAGTACAGAGACAGGGATGAAAAGGAGACTCTCAAGTATCAGGTTTTGTAGTTTTCCTTTAATAGATATGTAAGTGTTTTATATATAATTAAGATATGAATTAAGTCAAAAAGAAATGAAAGCAGTCCCTAAATGAAAACAAAACACATGAACTCATATCAAGTTGGAGTTGTAACCATACAGAGAGAAATTACTTCTACTGACTTTGATTTAAGCTTTTTTTTTTTTTTTTTTACTCTTTATCTTAACCAAAAGGCCAAGAAGCAATAAGTTTTAGGTGTTTTTTTTTTAATGTTTGTTTATTTTTGAGAGAGAGCACAAGCTGGGGAGGGGCAGAGAAAGAGGGAGACAGATGGTCTCCGTGTTGACAGTGGCACTTGAACTTACAAACCATGAGATGACCTGAGCTGAAGTTGGACGCTTAACTGACTGAGCCACCCAGGTGTCCCTCTTATTTTTGTGTGTGTAAGTTTTATTTATTTATTTATCTATTTTTGAGAGTGAGACAGAGCACAGTGTGGGAGAGGGACAGAGAGAGAGAGAGAAAGAGAGAGAATCCCAGGCAGGCCCCACACTCCATACAGAGCCCGACGCAGAGCTCAAACCCACACACTGAACTGTACGATCATGACCTGAACAAAAATCAAGAGTCAGATAAATGCTTAACCGACTAAGCTACCCCGGCGCTCTGACCGGCTTTTGATTTCTTATGAAGAAGAGTTTTAAATATATGCCAAAGTAGACAAAACAGTGTAATTGAACACATCACCCAGTTACAAATTGATAATTGAGAAATTACCACTTTTTGATCAGTCTTGTTTCTTCTATATCCCTAAATTTTTCTTATTTTGGAAAAAGTCCTAGACATCATATTATTTAATCTGTAAGTATACATTTCTAAAAGATAAAAGCTTTTAACATAAGCGTGTTAATTTTATCACTCCTATTAAAAAACTTAATATCTTAAAATCGTCAAATAACCACTGGCCAGTTCAGATTTTTGCTTCTTCTAGTAACTTTAAAAACATAATATTTTAAGCATAATATATAAGAAAAAAGACACAAACTTTAAAAAGCAAAAATGGAGACTTATTCTGCCATAAACAACTATAAAACTATACAAAACATATCAAAGAACGAGTTTCAGATGTTGGACAGTATGCAGCACAGGACTGAGAATCAGGTGAGCCCTGTGACCACCTTGGCTTTCTGCCTGGTGGTGTTTTCCAGATGATGGTATAAGGAGAAGGAACCTAAACCAAGAACAAGGTTCTGGCTGATTGAAAGAATAAGAGATCAGAGCTCAGGGAGACAGAAGTGGCTGTAATTTTTGTCTCGAGATGGGGGAACTACTCAAAGACTACAGAAATCTATATTGATTTGGCTGAATAGTAAGCTATAAATGGACATATTGAGACCCCACAAAGCTGGGCAAAGAACATTTAATAAGCAAGGAGCAATTACCAGGAAACTGTAAACTGAAAAATTGCCAGAACTTAAATAAGGCTGGGAGAACTTCGGACTACTCAAAATGAATGTTCATTAAATACCTTGAGGCATTTAATAGAGACTTCAGAAAGGTCACACCTTCATAGTAAAGCTAGACTGGACCTGTCCCAATAAAGGTTAAAAAAAAAATCACGGTCAAATTGATCCATAACTAATTGAGCTGCCTGTCAAGTTGACACTCTTTTAAAGAAGACAACAAAGCATGGGGTGCCTGGGTAGGTAATTGTTTAAGTGTCCAGTTCTTGATTTTGGCTCAAGTCATGATCACATGGTTGTGAGATCGAGCCCTGAGATGGAATGCTTTCTCCGTCTCTCCCTCTTTCTCTCTCAAAAATAAGGACAACAAAGCCTAAACACTCAGCATACAGAAATCCCAGCATTCAGTGAAAATTACAAAACATGCAAAAAAGCATGAAGTGATACCAGAAGAAAAACCAGTAAGTAGTAATAGGCCCAGAAATGACAGAAATTATAAAATTGACCAATAAAAAAAGTTTAAAAATAGCAAGTACAAACATTCTCAAGAATTTACACAAAAACTGAAAGATAATATGGAGATTGAAGTAAAAGGATGAGAAAGGAGGATATACTATTACAATCACTAATCATAGGAAACTTGGAATGGTTAATGATATGAAATGATGTAAACTTCAGGAAAAGTGTAGGTGGGAAAGATATTAGAAAGTAAATGACAAATCAAGTAGACCAAAAAAAAAAAAAAAAAAAAAAAAGGAAAGCTCTAGAAGACTTGAGCAACACTGTCAATGAAGTTGTCCTAATTGACACTTAACAGAATGCTATACCAGAAAGCATCAGAATAAGCGTTTTTTTCAAGTGCACTTAGAATATTCAGTGAGACACACCAAATAATGGACCATAAAAAAAATTTCAGTGAATTTACATTTGAAATTATACCGAGTGTACTGCCATGTCCTCAACAGAAAGTAGAAAATCAGGATTTTTGAAAGTTAAATATTATCCTTCAGAGTAACCTGGGTCCAAGAATTGATTACAAAGAAAACTAGAAAATATGTTTTGCTGTGTGATAATGAAAACACAACATTTGAAACTTGTAGACTAGGCAATACTTTAGAGAAAAATGTAGTTTCAAATACTTATGTTAGAAAAGAAAGGCTTAAAATCAAGGATCTAGGGGTTTGTGGCTAGCTCCATTGGGAGAACAGAGGTGGTGACCTCGGTGTGGTGAGTTCAAGCCCCATGTTGAATATAGAGATTACTTTTAAAAATTAGATTGGATATCGGGGCGCCTGGGTGGCTTAGTCGGTTAAGCGTCCGACTTTCGCTTAGGTCATGATCTCGCAGTTTGTGGGTTCAAGCCCCGCGTCGGGCTCTGTGCTGGCTGCCAGCTCAGAGCCTGGAGCCTGTTTCAGTCTGTGACTCCCTCTCTCTCTGACCCTCCCCTGCTCACGCTGTCTCTCTCTCTCCTAGAAATAAATAAAACATTAAAAAAAAAGTTAGATTGGATATCAATAAAATAAGAAATAGAAAAACAGCAATAAAACCAAAAGCTGGTTTTTTGGGGAAAAAAGGAAAACCAAAGTTGACAAAAGCAGAAATGAAGGAGAACACTAAATATTTTACCCAAAAGATTAAGACAATCTGAATAGATCATTAACAAGTAAGTTCACTCAATTATTCAGAAGAATCCCATAAAGAGAAGCCCAGTCCCAGATGTCTTCAATGGTGAATTCCATCAATTATTTAAAGAAGAGGGGCAGCTAGATGGCTCAGTTGGTTAGGCATCTGATTCTTAATTTCAGCTTAGATCATGATCTCACAGTGGTGAGATCAAGTCCCACATTGGGCTCCATGCTGAGCGTAGAGACCACCTGGGATTTTTTCTCTCTCTCTTGCTCTCTCTCTCCCCCTCCCCCCTTCCTCTACCCCCTAAATTAAATAAACATTTAAAAATATTTAAAGAAATAATAGCAATTTTCAAACTGACTCATAAAATGAAATAGGAAACATTTCATAACTCATTCTATGAGGCCGATATTTTTCTGATACCAAAGACATCACAATAAAAGAAAACCTACTAATTGTTATTCCTCAGAAACAGAACTGCAAAAATACTTGACAGAATTTTAGAAAACTAAATCCAGCAACATAAGAAAGGATTTTGGATCATAACCAAGTGGGATTTATCCCAGAAATGCAAATGTGATTTCATATCTGAAAATAAAATATAATATCTCATAATAATTAGACTAAAGTAGAGGTCAGTAGACTTTCTGTATGGGACCAGATAAGTAAATATTTTTAGGGCTGCATTTGCCGTACAGTCTCTGTCACAGCACTCAACCCTGCCAGCATGTTTTACAAAGACAGCTATGGAGTATATAAACAATTAAGCATAACTGTCCTCTAATAAAGCTTTATTTCTGGGCAGTGAGATTCGAGTTTCATGTAAGTTTCACATGTCACAAGATAGATCTTTATAAAAATTTTTTCAACCATTTGAAAACATCAAAACCATTCTTGACTTGTGAACCATATAAAAACAGTCAGCTGGTGAGATTTACTGCCCCCTGGAATAAAGGACAAAAACTACATGATCATCTCAGTATGATTATTGGCCTCTGAAATGGCCCCCAAATAACCCCTGACTCCTAGTACTCACACCCTTGTGTAATCTTTTCCCCATGAACATGGACTGGGTCTAGTGACTCATTTCTAACAATAGAATACTGCAAAAGAGATTGGATGTCACTTTGGAGATTAAGTCACCATAAGACTGTGATTCTGTCTTGTTCTGCTTTCTCTCAGGGCTATGGCTCTGGAGGAAGCAGCCTGCTCTGTTGTGAGTAGCTCTGTGGAGAGGTCCATGTAGCAAGGAACTTAAGGTGTGGCCAACAGCCAGCAAGGACCTGAAACCTATCCAAAACCAAATGAGTGAGCTTGGAATTGGATCTGCCGAGGTCTGCCAACAGCCACCTAAAATAAGCTTGGAAGGGAATCTGCACCCAGTTAACCTTTGAGATAAATGCAACTGTGACCAAGACCTTGATTGCAGCCTGTGAGACATCCTGAGTCAGAGGCACCCTGCTAAAATTGCCTATGCCTGTGTTCCTGACCCACAAAAACCATGCGATAATAAATATCTGTTGTTTTAACCTGTTCAGTTAAGTAATAGTAGATAATTAATACATCATCAGATACAGAAAAAAAGCCACATGATAAATCCAACACCTATTCATAATAAAATAAATTCTCAACAAACTAGAAACAGAAGGGAATTTACTCAATCTGATCAAAAGCATCTATGAACATGCTACTGCTAACATCATACCTAATGGTAAAAGACTAAATACCCTAAGGTCAAGAGCAAGGTAAGGATGTTAAATGTCACCGTTTCTGTCAACATTCTGTTGGAGATTCTAGCCAATGAAAGAAGCTTTAAAAAAAAAAAAAACTGACAGGAAAGAAGTAAAACCATGTTTATTCACAGATAACATAATTCTAAAAGAAGTGCTTGAAAACAACAAAACATTACTGAAAGAAATTAAAAGTATGTAGAGAACTCTTGCAGTCAGTAATAAGGCAATCCAGTTAAAAATTGGGCTAAACACTTGGATAGACGTTTCACAAGGAAAGAGATGAATGGCTAATAAGCACAAGAAAGAGTTTTTGTTACAGAATTGCAAATAAAACCACAGTAGGATTACAATCCATACCCACTAACATGACTATAATGAAAAAGACAGTGCCAAGTATTGGCAAAGATATGGACAGACTGGGGCCTTCGTGCATTGCTGGTAGGAATGTAAAATAGGACAGCCACTTAAGAAAAATAGTTTGGTGGTTTCTTAAAAAGTCAAACATAAACATAGTATAGGACTTAGCACTGCTAATCCTAGGCATCTACCCAGAAGAAATGGAAACATAGGTCCACACAAAGACCTAAGACACGTATCTGCCAAATAGAATGTATAACTCTTACTTGGGTCCTAATTTGAACAAGTCAACTTGACAAAGGCATTTATAAGGCAGTTGGGGAAAGTTGGAGACAGATGGGCTGTTAGATATTAAGGAGGAAAGATGTCCTGAAATATTTACAAGTGAAATAGTATGTCTGGGATTTGCTTCAAAGTACTGAAACAAAAACCAGAGGAAAATAGATGAAATAGAAATAGAATATTAATAAATGTCAAACCTTAATAGTAGTACAAGTGCATTTTATATTATTCACTCTTGTGTATATTTGAAATTTTCCATAATAAGTTACAAAAATTAAACTGAGAACTTGACCACTGTGGAAAAAGAGCCTTTAAGAAATTCATAAACGGGCACCTGGCTGGCTGGTCAGTCAGTAGAACATGTGACTCTTGATCTCAGGGTCATGAGGTGAAGCCCTGCATTGAGGGGCTTTTTTTAAAAAAAAAAGTCATGAAAGCAAGTAGGTAGTAATATTACATAACTTAGCTTGTTTGAGCCCAAAACTGGTCCTTTCCGGTTGCAAAAATCCAACCACTTAATTACTGCCACGCAAAAGGTTATCTTGAGCAGAGATTTAAGTGAAAGAGCAGAGACAGAGCTTTCAGTCTTCAAGTTGCACCACTTGCTAGCAAGTACTAGCTAGTTTCTGGTATTTCTGTATTTGCAAAATGCATATAGGTCTCTTATCAGCACATAGTGGTTTGCTGTTAAACATTTCCAGGTAAGAATCAGGTACCGTGATCCCTCATGCAAACGCTCATACACAGCACAGCCTTTCTTTGTGAGTGGCACCTGCCTCTTCCTCAGCATGACAGATCCCACAGGATTTACTGCTGCTTTTATTTTGGCTATGGAAATTTTATAGTTCTTATGTACAGACACCTGTTTAATGAGAATCGTGCATGATTTACTAAAGATGCATTCCTATTTGTTGATTCATTATTTTCTCCTTTTTCCATTTTTCAGTACATGTACTAGCCTTAGCAAGTTCTGTTCCAAACTCAGGCACCTTGACTTGGCTTCCTGTACATCAATAACAAACATGTCTCTTAAAGCTCTGAGGTAAATTTCTTCTAACAAGAATGTCCAGTAATCAGAACAAATATACGTATTTTTTATTTCAAGTAACTGAATTAAAGTTGGAATTGAAGGAAACTATGTTTTATAGATATGTACTATATTTCAGAGTAGATCTTTTGTTTTATCACTTGCCCAAGTTACAGGACACATCCAGGTGAAATGACAAGAGGTAACTAGGATTTCTGAACAGACTGGCACTCTACATGGATGATTATATTTTTATGAGGTCTTGATCCCCCCCCCCCCCCCCCCCCCGCCACCACCAGAAGGCCACATATCATTATAGCTTAGTGATTAAAGAAGCACTCTGGAGCCAGGTGATTAGCCAAGTACCTTGTACAAATATAACCCTCCTGAGTTCTTCCTTTCTATCTCATAGTGCTTTTGTTAGGATTAAACAGTATTATCATTATTTGATGATAGTATTAGGCCAAACCATGTAAAGTTGCCAGTATTTAACAACTTTTGTCTTAATGAAAATGATAGCGTCATATAGTTCAACCTAATATATATAAAGTGCTTAGCAAAGCACTAGTAAGCTCTTGATAAGTTTTGTTTTAATATTAATGTATTTTTAAAGTACATTACAGAAGATGTATCTTAAAAGGAAGGTGAAATGCCCATTTTCTTTGTGACTTTACTTTTTTATCAACCTTTTGTAAATATAGTTCCATGTATTGGTTATGTTCATGAACAGTAATAATTATGCTATTAAAAGAAATGTAGATTTAGTTGAGTGTAAGTAATCTAAAAATATGGCTTCTTCTAGACTTTCCTTATGATTATTGAGTACTATCCATCTAAGGCTATTTGCCATGTAGGATAATAAATAGGATACTATAACGACATTTATAGTTTATAAAATATTTTCACATAAATGATTTCATTTATTTCAAAACCTTGTGGAGAAGATAGGACAGACACTTTATAGTTAAGAAAGTCTAAAACATTTTTTAATGCCAGGTACCATGATTTAACCATAAAATGTAACTAAATAAGGTATTGTTGCTGCTCTTAAGCTGTCCAGAGCCTAGTGGGAGAAAAAATACACAGTATGATAAGTGCTGTTATAGAATTGAGTGCATCCATTTGAGAACATAGGAGGGAGGGGCTATGGCTGATTTAGATTAAGAGAAGTTCAGGCAGGTTTCCTAAAGTGACTTGCCTGAAGTCACACTATTAATGCTGAAGAATGGACTTGAACCAAGATCTCCTGCCTTCATTTTATAAAACAATTAAAGCAATATTTTCCAAAGAATGTCATAGAACTTGAGATTCTTCCATAGTTCAAATGTGAAGTCAGAGATGAAACTAATATTCTATAGAAGGCAGAGATCAAACACAATATATCTTAAATTCATCCTATGGAAGCAGTACTCCAGATCCTTCATAGATACAGAATATTTATAGATCCTTTGTAATTTTTACTTAAAAATTCAAATTTTTACTCATTATTACTTTGATAAGTAATAGAATTATTTAATAAAGAATCTGAATCTAAACTCTTCACTAATTACTCTGTTAACTTGAACAGATCACTAAATTCCTATTTGCTTTCCAGAGATCTTTTAAACATGTGATAAGTGCAAAAAGAGTATGTTTGAAAAGGATAAACCTCCATAACAATCTAACATATCTGAAAAATATTATTGTGCTTTGTGCTTATTAGTTTAGCTGGATTTGAGCTAGCTTTCCCAGTGATAGAGTCCCACGTGAACACCACAAGTATTGATAAATACACTTTGTTGTTGTTGCTGTTGTTGGATTGACTATATTCTAAATCTGTGTTATGAAAATATATTCTTAGAGGAGAACATGGGACTGTAGCCATTCCCTGATTAAGTAGACAGTAAAATGAGACTTTGGTGCCTTTGGAATTGGGTTTAGTCATGTTTGTTTCATTTTGTTTTGTCCTAAGTGAGGGATGTCCACTGTTGGAGCAATTAAACATTTCCTGGTGTGACCAAGTAACCAAGGATGGCATCCAAGCACTAGTGAGAGGCTGTGGGGGTCTCAAGGCCTTGTTCTTAAAAGGCTGCACACAGGTAATACTCCATGTAGTGCTTGTGAATGTTAGAAGAGCCATGGACTTTGTAGGGAGCCCAAAGATGTTGGCTTAAGGAACATGTAGTTGTATATCACTGGCCAAAGATACATACTTACCAAAATTAAAGTGTCTTCCTTAGAGTAAAAAAACCTAAGAAGAATGAATCAACATCTGACCAAAGAAATTTTTGAGGGGAGGCAAGATGGGGAGGCAAAAATCACACTAAGCATCCACCTCAGGCAAGAAAGGTCTCTTGCAATTTAATCTGAAAAGGAAACTTGCCATGTTGTCATTGTCTTAGACTTTAAACTGGAGTGGCAAGGAAGGCAGCCTTAGTTAGCAATTTCACTGGTTGTTTAACTACCAGGTTAAATGTGCCACATATACAGAACGTACATTTTATAGTGTTAATGTTTACTTCCTGCCAGTCACATTACAAATCCCAACATTTTCTGTAATTAAAAATTTTTGCTATCTTCCTGTTTTACTGTGGGAAAAAAAAAATAAGGAATTGACATGGCAGTGTCTGGAAGGAAATAATCAAAAGTGAGTTTAGAAGTGACTGACAAAGTAGGGCTAGGCTCTTAAGAAATTAGTTTACTAATGCTTATTGAAACCATGCCTTGGATGCCGTTAAAAGTGCCCTTACTCTTTCACCATGGTGGGACGAGTTCCATTGTTTAGAACAGAGCTTTGGAAGTACGCCTGCCTTAAAACAACAGCTTGAGCTTCTGGTTATTTATGGAATCCTGGAAAATATTGATTCGAATGCACCATTATACATTATAATCAATTACTTGCCATCTGTTCTCAGTACTGTACACATGGCACTGATCTTCCTTCCAGAGCAGATAAACCGGATTCCTTTCTCAGCTCCTGCTCCCAAAAAGTTTGTTTTTAAAAAACTTTGTATAGGAAGCATAAAAGTGTGAAAATTATTTTAGCTTCATAATCCCTGAGCAAAATGCTGTGAGGCATATTTAATTTATCAGAAGAAAAATCCATAAACATTAGGCAGTGTTTATCTTTTCCTCGATTTGGTGATCGTATGAATTTGATGTGGTTAAAACTGATGAAAAATACTGATAAGCCGTATTAATAATAGGAAGTACACCTTTATGTGATCACAAGTCATTGTTTCTGGTTCATTGTTCCTTTGAAATTTTGTTGGCTATATTTAGAATGTATTAATGAATGTATACACTGCTAAATCTTTATCCCTTGAAACAATATTAGTAATCATTTTTTTCTCTTTTTAATCTTTCTAGCTAGAAGATGAAGCCCTCAAGTACATAGGTGCACACTGTCCTGAACTGGTGACTTTGAACTTGCAGACTTGTTTAGTAAGCAGTCCTTCCCACAACTCTTTTGTATTAGTAATTCTTATCAGTAATATTATTGTAAGAGCTTTAGTCATCAAGACCAGTGGTTTCTCCATTCAATTCTGGGGACACTGTAAATACACAGAGGATTCTTTGCATGTTTAACGATAGTCATTCCTGAGGGTTTTAATATAGATAATATAGAAGGTAGCTCTTGCAGAATTCCAAATAAGCTAACTAATTCCATCCCTTTTCTGCTTTTCAAAGTGAATTATTCACAAACTTTAGTACTTAAAATATTTTTAGTAAATTAAATGCAGTCACGTCAATTAAGATCTGTCATTGGGTCACAGCTATTGGGAACCACTGATCTAAACAGATGACAAGCAAAATGTACACTTTAAATTATTTCCAATTAGTATCTATAGTTCACATTTGGCTTGTTTAAACTATCAACTTTTTTTGTGTCTATCCCCAGAAGCCAGCATTTTGCTCAGAGAATTTGCTGAAACTATTCAGGGTCCTACAACATCGACAGTATACTTTTAGCTTTTCTCTCTTGCCTTGAAAATTACATATATGTGTTGCCTTGGAATGAGAGCCTCTCGTAGCAATAAAAAAGAGTTGGTGAGGGCTTTCCTTGTTTTTGCTAAAACTTCTGCTCATTATACCCTTCCCTTGTTTGATTACCTGAAACTTGAGAGCATAGTAGTCATCTAGTTTAAAGGTGACATATAAAGGGCCATATTTTGTGCAATTGAAGCAACCTCTCCTTCTAAGCCCTTAGGGGATGGTGCTGATAATGATCTGCTCAGGAGGCTCCTAAAGACTTGAGTTAAAGGAATAACATTCCTTTTGATTCTGATCATCTCTTCCTTTTAATTCTGACTGTCATAGTTGCTAACTATCAGAATTTGCCTAATTTCATTTATGGAACCAAAATATTTGGCCTGCCAGGAAGAGCTTATACAACTGTTGTAAACACGAAACCATTACTTTACGGTGATAGGAAGAAACTGTTCTTGGGCATCTTCAGGTTCTATTTGTATACACAGACACATGGAGATAACACTCCGTATATATTTATATGGATATATATTACACAAACATTCACACAACCATATAAATATATACCCTACCTACCATTTGCTGTTTACTTTCACTTCCTTTATCCTTCCAGCAGACAGAAACTGCAGGTGGAAAGTGTAAAGAACCAGTTCTGTCATCAGTTTATTTTACTCTTTCCCTTCACCCAGATCTTAGGGCTAAGTCATCCCTTAGAATGTGATGAAATGATTCTTATTCCTAAGACTTCCTGTTTCTCCCCAAAACTGTTGATGTGACCAAAGTACTTTCTTGAGCCATTCTGTTTTTCTGGACTAATTTGAAAACATAAGAGTTTCATAAATTTTATTCTTTCTAAAATTTGAAGCATTGGTACATATGACTTTCCTCAACTTTCTTCCTCAGTAATCTCTTATAGACTTTAAAACATTAAGAAGGAAAAGGCAGCACAGCCCTATAATATTTTCCTAATATTATATGACATAAGTTTTCATTGGCCTGGTAAATATGCATGTTTATTGGTTGCTGTTTCCCCCTTTACATTTCAATTATCCTTGTTTAGTAATAACTGTATATCACACTTGTATGGCACTTTTTTAGTTACTTCACATGTGTTGATCCTCATTAATTATCCTCAAGATAAATCATCTATCTGCCTTAGCATCCATTTTTTTTATCTGTATCTTATTTCAGTTATGCAATATTGAGAATATATTTATTTAAGCAGTGAATATTTAAAGTTTGATTTTTTTTTTTCAGTTGTCCTGGCAACCTAAGGACACTGACTGAACAAAGATTGCAGGAGAGCTTTATTCTAAGGCTTACACAAAATTTGTGAATCTAACAGGACAAATTGAAGTGCTAATCATATCCTTCATGTTAAGATGTTTATACGTGGCATCTTTTTTTTTTCCGTTTTTTTAGTGTAACATCTTGCTTGCTGTGTCCTTTTTTATTTTAGAATAATTTAAAACTACAGAATTACATTTGAGTTAGTCACAGCTGTTTATCTCCATGAATAGTATGTTCTTTATATTATACAACTAAAATAAAGAAATAAATGGATCTGTGGTTGATAGGAAGTTGCAACTGTTGCCCATAGTTTGTTTTATTTTTTTTTTAGTAACTTAATATTAGTGTCAATTTTGAACTTACAAATATGTTTATACTGCTATGCTTACCTGTTTTCTAGGCTTTAAAGTCATTTAATTGAAATCTACCCCATCGTGCACCTCATGCTGTTCCCAGTCCCATTGGGTTACAAGAATCCCATTATAGCTTCCTCCCTTTACACCAAAACTGAGCACTGGGGCGCCTAGCTGGGTCACTTGGTAGAGCATACAATTCTTGATCTCAGGGATATGAGTTCAAGCCCCATGTTGGGCATGGAGCCTATATAAAATAAATTAAAATGAAAAAAATGAGCACAGATTCTCTCACAAGCTAAATCAAAAAACTGAAAAGGAGAAACAAAGTGTATTCATTTTCATTTAGGTCTGCTACCTAATTAATATTAAATCTATTTTATTTCTTTTTGGTGCTAATTTTCACAGGTAACATTTTTTCCTTTTCTTCTGCTAAGTTACTAATATCTATGGGTTTTTTTGCTCTTTTTTAAATTTTTTTTATTTTTTAGCAAATCACAGATGAAGGTCTCATTACTATATGCAGAGGGTGCCATAAGTTACAGTCCCTTTGTGCCTCCGGCTGCTCCAACATCACAGATGCCATCCTGAATGCTCTAGGTCAGAACTGTCCACGGCTTAGGTAAACATTTCTTGTTTAGCTCAAAAAATCAGGGGAAAGGAACAAAGGTCTTCTTCACCCAAATTTATTCCTTTGGAACTTTTGAGATTTTTAAGGTAGACACTACAAGGCTACCCTTTAGATGCCCAGCTACTTGCTTTGTACCTCATTTGATTACATGTAATTGGCCTAAACCAAAGGGTAATAGTTCCCATTTCCTACTTTCTTTCTATCTAGACTAGGGGGAAAAATTTTAACATTTTATTTCATTACTTGAGAAAAATAAGGACATTTTGTCTTATTAATACTTTCATATAACTCATTTCTGAAGAAAGTTTTTGAAGGCCTACCCTGTGGTTATTTGTATTGTGGTAATGATGCCAGGTATATAGCAGGAAGTATTTAAAAAGAAAAAACAGCCCTACAGGAAAACTTCCTTTGTGCTCATGATCTTTTAGAGCAAGACTTATTTCTGTATGGTTCCTCCTCTCTGCCAAAATATAGGATTGGCTGAATATTTACTAAAAATGCTGTGTTAGCATACACATGGTTTCAGACCCATACTGATGTTGTAAAAGCGCACAACACACTATTTTGTAATGAATAAGGATTATCCCCATATTCCTGGTTTGTTTTTAAAACAAAACTTTTATTGTACTTCTATGTTAGACATGTTGACCATTGTTTTAAGGGATTTACAAATGTTATTCATTTAATCTGCATAATACCATATAAGCACTGTTACTATCTCCATATTATAGATGAGAAAACTGAAGCACAGAGAGATCAGATAACCTGATCAAGGTCTCATAGCTTAGTGAGTTCAGGAGCAAGACTCAGACCCAGGCAGCCTGGCTTGAAAACCCAGGAAACCGCTTGTCTTACATATAATAATCATTGTAAACCAACATAAATTTATTAAAGCTTTTTGTAGTCACCTGGCCAGGAGTCTAACCATAATTTTTGAAATTTTGCCTAGATTATCAAAATTCCTTAATAGATCATAGACTTGGTCAGAATTAATAATGTCAGAGGCCCTGGAGCTAAGGAGGTAGCCAAATTCCTCCCTAAAGATCTTACACATTTTTTTCTCTTTTGATGAAAGGAGTGTTCAGTTCCTTATTCTTCCATGGCTTACCTTATTGTTCAAATAGAAAAGCTCTCAAATATGATAATCAAAAGTTAGGTTCAGTCGGATCATGTTTTCCCATTAGATATATATAACATTCATTTCTTATTGATTGTTGATAATGATTTCTTATACCGTGGCTTTATTTGTTTCAACTTATATAGTAAATAATTTGTAAGCAAACGTAAGAACATGTTTTGGTACTGTCACAGAGACGCCACCAAACTTTTCACAGAAAAGAGCTACTTTTGATTCCCCAGTCCTGTGGTTGGTATTTAGGTTGGTGTTTAGCAGTTCCTGAGTAGGAGAGTCTCTGCCAACTCAGTTCCCCTCTCCTCTCGGCCTCCCTGGGAGCCTGTGGGAGGAGGCAAGAAGCTTAAGGGTATTTTTTCATAAGTATGGAATTTCATACTTGGTACAGGCCTGTAATTAACCAGTCCCTTCATAGCATTTTTAAAAGCTATTTAAATCTGACTGAATCTACATGTAAAATAGGGAAAGAGAATAATTTATTTGAGGAACAGATTAATTGAAACAGAGTATTTATCTCCATTTCCTTTGTTTTCTAGGAGCAGGCTGCCCTCTGGGGGTAAGCAGTATGCCATCAAGAAGGCTTTTAAATGCATTTTTCATGCATTTTGGCATTAACTACAGGCTTCTATTATATTCTTCTGATTGCATCACCCTGAAATGTATTTACAGGACCACTTTATGATGACTCCATGAAAATGAATGGCAAGATCTGTATACAGACTTGCTTGGCTGTTAATGTCAATATAGTATGCAGTGCTTAGGGAATAGGAGGTTGTTTTCTTAAATTCTTGCTGTTTTTAATAAACCCAGTTTTCAGGGAACAAGGGCTTGACTTTCACTTTTTTCTTTAACAGAATATTAGAAGTGGCAAGGTGTTCTCAATTAACAGACGTAGGCTTTACCACTCTGGCTAGGGTAAGTATCCTCTCCAGGTTCTCTTGGTTTGGTTTGCAGTTTTTCTTTCAGAGGAGTAAGCAATGAGGGAAAAGTAGAATGGCAGCAGAACTGAGGATGTGGGATGTGAGGGAGCTTCTCTGTGGCTGGTGTTCCTGAGCATTCTCGTGCTGCAGCCCTAGGCCTGTAGAATACAGACTGCTCTGGAAATACAGACATGCATTGGAGAACATGATGCTCCTTCATGAGACTGATTTGCCACATTTTCATTAGATGGTGAACTAAGCAGGGACTTTCTCATGCTTCATGAAAGAAACTCTTGGTTACTTGGTATGCGACTGGTGGGTGAGAGTGTTGTTGAAAAAAATGTATGAGGCCAGTTTTAAATGGAGGTGGTTTAAGAGATTTTTTGTATTCTCCAGAATATGTTAATCCTTGGAATGGTTTATAAATCACTGTATAATATTTAAAATTACACTCTTTAGCCAGTATAATGGAACATGGGAAAGGACATTTGCTTTCAGGCAGATTGATGGAACGCTAATTGGTGGGGGGCAACACATGGCATAACTAAATGGGGACATAAAGCTTACCTTTCATTCTTCCAAAGAAATAATTTTCATCAAATTATTTATGGTTGAAAGGCTCTGTATTAACTTGGTATTAATGTTCAGAGAATTTATTCCCATGGACTTGTAAGAAGTTAGATAGTTTAAATGTACTATAATTGAGAAATTTCACTGTGATGGAGGCCTTTTAAAATGTGTAATTAATGGAATAAGGCAGAAAGTGTCATTAGAATGCACCAACTCTGAAACTTAAGATTTTGTCGTGAGTTTAATACCACTCCTGAGTCTTCTGGCCTTAAATTTTCCCATGTTTTAAGTGTTTGGGCTATAATTTTTGGGTTTTGTATTCTGTAGAATTGCCATGAGCTCGAAAAGATGGACCTGGAAGAGTGTGTTCAGGTAAGAGTATGAATTTTTACTCAGAAATGCAGTATGATAGAAACTTACCTAATGTGTGCCCATTAAAACTTTCAGCTCCTTACCCTAATGTCATACAGTGCCTGCAGCAGTGCTGACTCTCCATTTATTGTGATGTCCTCCAGGCATACCAGGCAGAGGTACTCGTGGTATACGTAGTAAGGAACTAGGAAAATACATGCCATCAGTATGGTTACCAGTGGAAAAAAAGAAGGCCCAAGCATTCAGGCCATAAAGATGTTAAAATGTTTCCTTAGACCTACAGAGTTATAATACTAGTAAATCATTAAAGCCCCATCACATTGGCAATATAGCACTGCCCTTTTTTTTTTTTTTGAGCTTAATGAGACCCTGGACCCCTTATTGCATCATTAGCCCTGGAGATCTGACTCTACCCTTTGGGCAGACAGACTGACCAGATATGGCCTTATGAACAATTTATTACCAATTTTAAGAGCTTTGAGATTATTGGTTGATGGGGAGAAATTTTGAAGGGAGACTCCTAAAAAGAAGATAGAGTAATAAATTTTTTAATGGCAAAAATAAAGGTAAGATACTCCAGTAACTATAGAAGTCAGTTTTTTCTAAAACGCTTGTTATCCAGACACTACTTAACAGCTATTTTTACTAAACTGAAACGTGTTCACATCCGTTACTTGCACATGCGTGAGTGTCCAGCGTGTCCTCCCCAGTGTTGCTCTTTCTGAGTGATGTGCACATGGCTATCCTCCCCAGCCCTTCACCCCCCACCATTTCTTAGCCCCTGTGAAGCTCTGTATGTTATAATCATCATCATTTCAGAGTGGGAGGGACATTTGAAAAAAAATACTGATTTACTTTCCAGACCGAAAGAACTCTAACAGACTGTTCTTCCTTCAAGAGTCCTACTTCTTGAATGTTCATAGTTAACCCAAGCCCAGCAGCCCCTTTCCACCACCTTTGGGAAAATACTTGACACCAAGGTTATCAGTCCAGAGTTATGGCATGGCTTATAAAATACAGGCCAAGTATATATTCTTAAAAATTTGAGGATATTCCCACATTAAATTTTTTTTTCTGGAGCAGTATCTTCATTTTCTTTTTTGTGGTGGTTCTGAGGTAGAACAAAGTCCGATGGGTAGAAACTACAAAAGGACAGATTTTCATTTCAGGAACAAAGAATTTTCAACAGACCTATTCAGAGATGAAGATTAGAGGTGACTGGATGTGTTCAAACCCTCCTGGATAGATTCCCAAAGAATGGGTTCAGGTAGCTGATGGGATTTCAACCTTAGGATTCTCTTATTTGATGATTAATATCAGGATAATCAGTCTAGAGGCGTCTGGCTGGCTCAGTCAATAGAGAATGCAACTCTTAATCTCAGGGTCACAAGTTCAAGCCCGGCGTTAGGCATGGAGCCTACTTTAAAAAAAAAAAAAAAAAGAGGGGGTATCAGTCCAGATCAATCTAGAATACAAGTGTAGTCAAGAATGAGGTATAGCCATGAGGCTTTTTTGGAATTAGACCTATAATATAAACTTATGTGTTTCTTTCAGATAACAGATAGCACATTAATCCAACTTTCTATACACTGTCCTCGACTTCAAGTATTGGTGAGTTTGACTTTTTGAAAGTTTTGCATTCGTTGGATTTAATCAAAACCCAGCTCTTAACTTTCCTCTTGGTGTCTGGCTACCATTTGGGGAAAGCATTTTTCTCCAAATTGCCAGCTTACAGAGGACCAAGGGATTATGTTATCAGTACTTAGAGATTGAAAAGGACATGGAGAGTATGAGTTCTCCCTCCCACCTGAATTATACTTCAGCCTAAATGGTGGTTACATTTTAGACAACATGGCCCAAAATTCAATTTGCTTCACTTGAGACTAATAGGTCCTGTCAATCAAGGCTTTAAGGGTGTTCTGTGCTACTGTTTCCAGTAATACTGTGGGAAAGCATTCTGTTTGACAAGTTTGTGTCCAGGCTCATTTTTTTGTGTGTATTTGGTGGGATATTACTGTCCAAAATTGGGAAAAAGGGTTCTGAGTTTCACATGGAGGAACCAGGAATTTAAGGAAAATTGATAAAGAGACTTATGTGACGAGATGACCACACCTGACGGGTGTTAAGAATCATCTTTAGTTGATTAGCTGCTTGGGCCTTCCCCTGTATCAGGTATTCAGCATTTAATCCAAATTCCAGAAAATTTTATTCAAGAAAAGCTTGAGCCCCCTTTGTCCCTGTAAAAAAGTGTTCATTTGTAGATGGGGGTGCATATGTTATTTTGTTCATGAACTGTTTCATCGTCGTCGCATTCACACAGTGTATTGAGAGTCACACACAGAAATGTCAGTTATTGATTGTGAAAAGCACAACCCCAGCAGCTCTAGCTTGCTCTCATTTTACCACATGGATCTAGTGATGGCTCCATATACGCCAAAATCCAACCCAGAAGGTTTCGTTTCCAGCCGTGCACAGGCCAGTGGTTAGAAGAACGCCATCAGATGTTTCAGTGACCTTCCTTGCTCTATTTGGCTGCAGAGTCTGTCTCACTGTGAGCTGATCACAGACGATGGAATTCGCCACCTGGGGAACGGGGCCTGCGCCCATGACCAGCTGGAGGTGATTGAACTGGACAACTGCCCACTAATCACAGATGCTTCCCTGGAGCACTTGAAGAGCTGTCACAGCCTTGAGCGGATAGAACTCTATGACTGCCAGCAAATCACACGGGCTGGGATCAAGAGACTCAGGGTAAAGATGTCTGCACACTCTCCAGCTCTAGTGCTCTCAGCACCCTTTCCTTCTTATGTTGTTTTTTTCTTTTTCCCTCCTTCATTTCCTTTTCTGTTTTTGTTTTAGATTTAGATTTCTGTGGTTTTTATATTTACTTGGACATTTAGCAAAAAGAGGAGAAAATGGAGAGCAAACCCAAAGATAGTTTTACTCGTTGTTCTAGATGGAAATTTAGTAGGAAAATACCCACTGAGGGGGAAAAAGTAGGTCTCCTTCCAGCAGAGTCTCTCCAATAATGTCTAGGGCTTAATAACATGCATAGAGTCAAAAACACATGCCAGAGTCAGGAAAGAAAGGAATAACAAAGAAAATATTTAGTTAAATGGGATTTAAGAATTTAATTTGCATTTTTCTTTCACATCAAACCCTTTTGCTGGGGTTCTTATTTCTTAAGACAACAAATGGATTTAAGGGTTTTGTTTGGTTGGTTTTTTTACCTCTTCTTTTAGCCCCATCCTCCATAATAAAGAGACCCATGTATAGCCACACAACTGAAAGACAGGTTGCCAGCAAGGAGGTTATAAAAGGCTAGATGAATCTGTATGTTAGATTATTCAGCTCAACAGACATTTATTGGAACATCTGCTTCACACCTGCTATGGGAAAGGCATTGAGCTTAGTTAGGCCCTTACAGCCGATGTCTAAAAACATTCATGTTGGCCATATGGCATCTTGAGTTCATGAAGACCAGACCTTATCTTGAGCTCCAGTCAGCCTTAGTTCCTCCTCTCCCTTCAGACCTAGAGGACTGAGAGCATAACCGCAACGGGAGGTCTTGGCAGCCATATTCCTTCTACACCAAAAGAGGAGAGTCACAGACCTACCAGAGCCTCTGCTATGGCCTCCTTACTATAGGTTTCCTAGACCTGCCTGGCTGTCCAGAATCTCTTCCACCTCTGAGTTCTCAAGGCTTTTTTAAATCTATTCTTCAGATCCTCACTTAGCACTTTTGTACTTGAATTTAGCTATTTAAGACTGTTAAGTTCCTTAGGAGCAGCATCTCCACGTTGACCACCTTTGTACCCCTCTTATGTTAACTAGCACAGTGCTTGAAAATGGTAGCAATTCAAAACCTTTATGTAATAGAAACTGGAAGTGTGTTGTTGAAAGAGGATAGTGAGGTTTTTAAACATCTCAGAAGAAGCATCATCAACAATGACTTTTAAGATTTTTTTTTAATGTCTTATTTATTTCTGAGAGAGAGAGAGAGAAAGAGATAGCATGAGCAGGGGAGGGTCAGAGAAAGAGTGAGACATAGAATCTGAAACAGGCTCCAGGCTCTGAGCTGGCTGTCAGCACAGAACCCGACGCAGGTCTTGAACCCATGAACCGTGAAATCTTGACCTGAGCCAAAGTCGGACGCCCAACCGACTGAGCCACCCAGGCGCCCTAACAATGACTTTTAGTGTTTATTTTTGAGAGAGAAAAGAGAGATGGAGTGTGAGTAAGGGAGGGGCAGAGAGAGAGGGGGAGACAAAGAATCAGAAGCAGGCTCCAGGCTCCGAGCTGCCAGCACAGAGCCTGACACAGGGCTCGAACTCACAAACCGCAAGATCATGACCCGAGCCAAAGTCAGATGCTTAACCAACTGAGCCACCCAGGCACCCTGGAAAAAATTATTTTAAGCTTATATAGTTTCTTTCAACTTTGGGAATCCAAGTAGGAATCCCTTTGAAACAGGTTAAGAGGTTAGTATGAAGTTTTTCCCCAGTTTTATTATTATGGAAATAGGTACCAAGGTTATGTGAGCTATTTACTCGTTTAGAATAATGTGGAGTACTACAAAGCAGAACCCAGGCCTCTCAGCATCCTGACTGGTACTCAGCCTCTGCCTTGCTTTCATGTTCACTCAGCCCCTCTGTGTTTTTTCTGAAAAGCAACATTGCTCTTTCTGTTTAAGCCCTCTCTCTTAGTAATGTTTCTGTCTTGTTTCAGACCCATTTGCCCAATATTAAAGTCCACGCCTACTTCGCACCTGTCACTCCACCCCCATCAGTAGGGGGCAGCAGACAGCGATTCTGCAGATGCTGCATCATCCTATGACAATGGAGGTGGTCAACCTTGGTGAACTGAGTATTTAATGACACTTCTAGAGTTACAGTGGAGTCTCCAATGGAAGCAACCCCAGTGTTCTGAGCAAGGGTTACAAAGTGAGGGCAGCGTCCAGATCCCCGAGGCACACATAACATGTATACCCATCCTCACCCTCACCCACTCTAGTTCTGTGACCAGGGGACTGAAGCCCATGCTGGCTTTATCAAGTGGATTGGTAAAACTTAACCATTCCTGTTGTACATGCCAAGAAGAAAATCACAGGCAAGGCAGAGGGAAGGGGCATTCCAGCAAACCCAGTGTTACTGCTACTGCAGTTTCTTCATTTTGTTAAGGGGTTTCTTTGGTGATTTTGGAACAGCAATTGCAGTCCTCCAGGGTCAGAGAAAGCATAGAAAAACAATATATGTTATATCCAGGGACCAGAAAGAAAATTTCTTTGCATCCTATAAATGATAGCCATCCAGTGTGAGATGACTACAGAGCTTCTGTGCTTCCTTGTTCCCATGCCAACATGCTGAGCATGCTCACAAAGAAGGCTCATCCATTCCTCCTCCTGTGTTTAAGTATTTGGCCCAGAGGTTTCCTAAATGGTTGCACTGAAATCGCTGTGGTCCAGATGTGGTTACTTACTCGCTCAAATTGTCACTCTTTGTAGCACACTTGTGCACCTGTCTTTCCTTCTTTGTTGCTCCCTTCTGCACTCTTGCTCAGTCTGTCACCTGTTCATAGTCTGCTTACTCACACTCAGTTGTTACTCTTTTGCTGTTGTGTTTACAGTGTGCATTTTGGATGATTAGTTGGGGTTACCAAACATTTTTAAAAGAGACATTATCAATAAATATTTTTTTAATTCTAAGTTTTATCATTAGGGGACCCTGCCTGAATCTTTGCCAGCCTGAAGGGAAACTATAACAAAAATAAGAACTGTTATGAGAAGAAATTGAGCTAAAACTATTTTGATGAAAACAAACTTTGCCTTTTGGTTTCTGTTATACCTTGTGATATATAATAATACGCATGATATACCCAGTATTCCCCCTGCACATTTTTCCTTCCATCAAATTCTACTAACTTAATAAGGAGAGAGAAATGCGTTATTAGTAAAGAATGGAATGGTGAATCCCAAAACTGAGCCTGAAGGCCCCCCTACCCAAGCGCAGACATGTCATATGTTCACCAGAATCTAGGGATAAGCAGTACCATCCCTGATTTGTGTCTGCGAGGTTGTTTTGTGTTAGTAGGAATGCTGCTGCCGTTGCTGTGCAGTCTAGCTGGTCAGTTTCTCCCTTGTTTACCCCCTTATTCCAGAATATCAGGGAGACAAGAATGACCCTAGAATGACACAGGTCAACTCTGTGTCAGTGTTGGTGGTATGTCTCAAATGTTGGTGCCTCAAAGGATCAGAACCACTTCAGAACCTGTCAACCATCTCTCTCCAGACTTCTGTTGCTCCAGACTTCCTGTGAATGAAATATGGGGGAAACCAGGTGAAGGCTTTGGGGCAGGAGAAAGAAAACATTGAGAGGAAGTAGGGGGGTGAGTGTCTCTGTCCCCCCATGGTCACCAGAGCTAAAGGCAGGTATTCAGTGCCCATGACTCTGAGTCAAAGAAGAGGCTTCCTTCCTTTTTCCTTCCTTCCCCTCCCCCCAAAGTCATAAAGGATGAGGAAAGTAAGATGAGTTTCTCAAGTATAATAAGTAGATTTCTAAACCCCAAGGTTGAACATCTTGTGTGATTTTTAATAGGAATTTTTTTTTTTTTTTTTTTTTTTTGGTCTTTTAGGACATTACCGTGCAGTCTGCCATGATCTTAGATCATCTTGTGTTTGACCCAGACTGTTAAAGCTCATTGTAATGCCGCAGGTGCTGGCTCTACCAGCATAAGTAAGAATAAAGTAGAACTTCTTTCTCCAAAAGCAGTTAGGTGAAAGGGTCCTAGAAATCTGTATGCTCCACCATTATTTTGCATGTTAAATTTATTTTATGTAAAAAAAATTTTTTAATGTTTATTTATTTTGAAAGAGAGAGAGTGGGAGAGGGGCAGAGAAGAATCCCAAGCAGGTTCCGTGCTATCCCCACAGAGCCCAACCCGGGGCCCAGTCTCATGAATCATGAGATCATGACCTCAGCCAAAATCAAGAGTTGGACACTTAACTGACTGAGCCATCTGGGCACCCCCTGCATGTTAATAAATTTATTTAAATCCTGTTTTGTTATACCCTTTTAAAGGCTCAGATTTCTTTTTCATTCACCTTTCCCTTTGTCTTCTTTTCAAATTATCATATGAGGAATATACTTTAAAAAATCTTTTTGAGCATAGTCGACATAGGAATATACTTTTTAAAATGAGACTCATTGTCCTGGTTATACTCCACCATACAAATATACACAATGCACACACACTTCCAGATGTGGTTAATAATATTCAAATCCCCAGGTCACTCATTCAAAACAAAACTAAAAAGAGAAATATTTAGAGGCCATCTGCTCTAACATATTAAGGGTTTTTTTAGTATTACCTGAACAAATTGACCATAAAATACTGATTGATTAGTGAGTATGGATTTAAATTGCCCACTAGTTGAGGCTATTAAGGTACTTCTTTACTTAAAAAGTACATAAGTTTAAGACACCGTATTCACCAGGACATGAACAGCTTAGAAATGCCATTTCTCAACCCAAAAAGTATATCCACGTGCAAGTCCCTGTGGATTTGATTGAGCGATCCCTACCCATCTGGGCCAAGAACAGTCAAGTGAGAGAAAAAAGGAGTGTGCAGCACTGGCTTGTATGCGGTCAGGCCATGTTCCTTTCTCAAGAAAACTTCAGGCCCATCAAGGTTGGAAGGAAATATATTTCCTATGCCAGTCTGCAACCTACACCAGCTGATGCAATGTACCAGGACTTTGAGAATCCAGAACATGGTAAGTTTTGGTCAAGTGGAAAGGGTCCTGCCATCTGAACATAGTGTTTCCTGTCTCAGTATCAGGGACACTTCTGAAAAGTTAGTAAGGCTTCAGAGGTATAGGAAAAACTCTCCCTAGGAAAAGCTTTTTGGTCCATTCATCTGAATCCTGAGTCCCTGAACTTTATGCCTTCTATGATGAAAAAATACAGAGTGAATGGAGAGATTTGGGATAAGTCGGAAGGCACCCTCAAAGCTATTGCATAAACCTACAGGTAGCCAGGTGGAATTATTGCTTTGTGTGTGTGGAGAACATTATTAAACACCCAGATCATCTCTTTTTTAAGCAGCCTTTTCCCCTTACTTTTTCTACCATTATTTGCTGCATCAGTATCTTTTATAGCCTCTACATTGGCTCCATCAAGGTGATCCCAGCTTTTTTTTTTTTTTTTTTTGTGCTTTGATTTCTCCCATTTTCTTCATATACCCATCCTTGCCTTCTATTTAAAGCCTCCATCTTATTTCCACTGATGCTGCTGATTTATTCTTAGTTGTCTCCAGTCTAGCTTCCTCTTTGCGTCCTTGTCCTGATCTAGCAAAATTTCCTGGGCAGCCTGGAATTCAGTAACTGTTGTGTGGCTCAGACCATTTTTCACTAGGTTATCTCAGACATTTGCTCACCAAATTTGAAATCAAGCTGTTGGATATGAGGAATAAGGAGATCTGGCTTCATCCTTTTTTTTTTTTCCTTCCAATATTTGGAATACAAAAACACATTGTGCTCTGTGTAAAAGATGTTTTCTCCTCCTATTCTGCTCTTTAGTGGACATAAAAGTATTTCTTAAATGGTCTTTGTAAATTTCCATATCCTTTATGTTGATTTAGTGAACCTGTAAGTCAGAAATTCTACATATTCCTTATATTGCATATTTTAGAGGGAAACCTGACAAATGTTTTTATGATGCTTTATTTGGGCTTTCCAAACCATTTGAACCATTCAGTACAGCTATAATACTACAGCAGTCAAGTTCTTTTATTTCTCCTAATTGTCTTGTAAAATGCACTGTTACCAGTTTGATAGCCCACTAATGCCCTTGGTAGGTAGGGGGTAAACAAGGTGTACGGTGGAACTTGTCCAGGGCTGAAATTGTAGGGGAGTATGAGAGTAGCATTGGAAGAAGAGGAGGCTCATGCCTGCCTGTGTGGGCAGCATATCCTTGGGTGGCTGTGGTTTTGGAGAAGAGGAATGCTTGTGGATCATGGCCATTTAATATTTATTGTTCTGAAAGTTACAGACTGCTTATGACAGTTGCTACCAGTGAGAGAAGAGGGGTTTAAAGGAAATGGGTCTGTTCTGCCATTCCCTCCTTGTGTGCATGGTTTAAGATTAGGTTTCTAGCCCCATTGTGCATCCTGGCTGACAGATTCTTTCAGTGGTATGTTTTGAGCTTCCAGAACATTTTTTTTTAAGAGATTGCCTTCCTATCTGCCCTCCAGTTCTAGGATCTTTAAAAAAAAATTTTTTTTTTAATTTATTTTTGAGAGAGAGAAAGACAGTGTGGGCAGGGGAGGGTCAGAGAGAGGGAGACACAGAGTCCGAAACAGGCTCCAGGCTCTGAGCTGGCTGTCAGCACAGAGCCTGACGTGGGGCTCGAACCCACGAACCGTGAGATCATGACCTGAGCCACCCAGGCGCCCCTCTAGGATCTTTAACCACCTCAAACCCAGGCAGTGTGAATTAGCAGAGTCTTGTTTGAGAAGAGGTAGAGGATGTTTGGTTGGAGGTCTGGAGGCAACCCTCCCCCTTACAATGATCTTGGACCAAAGAACCTCAAAGCAATATGAGGGTGAGAGGAAGTATGGAGTCTAAGCCTCTCATCACCTTTATTTCTATCATAAATTTTAATTGTAGTATTGGAAGATACAGAAAACTGTCTAAGACCATGTCAGTAGGTATAATAACGCAGGTAATTTAGGAATAACATTTGGCTGTATTTGCTGTATTCAGATGCCCTAACTTAACATCTGGTTCTCCAGCAAAAAACATGCTGCTCTAAGCTTGCTCTCTCCCTTCAGACAAACTCTACCTGCCAGGAACTACCGTTAGAGGCAACTGAGTTTTCTGCAAGAAGGGCTTCTGCAGCTCCCCTCACAAGGCAAGTCTACCTGTCTGTCCATTTTTATTCTTAGGACTCCAGCTCTGCATCTCTGAAGGCTTTGACCCTTCTTAGGAAAGTCAGTAAGAACCTCTCTCCTGAGTCTGAGTGAATCTTTGGAGCCCAGCAGAGTTACACTTAATTTTCAGCAGGAAAAAAATCTGTCAGACAAGCTCACGTGTGAGATATTAAGAGAAATTCCATAATGTGCTTCTTCCATCTCTGCCTTATGTGTTTTTTAAATAAGCCCTTGGGGGGAGTTTGGTTCAAAAATGTTGAGTCTCTGTGCTTCCTCAACCAAGGTGTTTCACTGCCCTTTTAGGAAAAAGAACCATGGACAACCAAAACTATCAGTTGACTCTTTCTATTTTCTGTGTTTTTCAAAAAGTATCTTATTTGAATTGGGGTGGGAAAATGGTAGATGAGATTCAAAGTAAAGGAGAGAATTCAGTCTGGAACTGGGGCACTTTGCTTCAGGGACAAGCATCTATCCTGCCTCGCACATGTGAGTAGATTTACTTTCCTCTCCATTTAATGAACTCCATGCCCTTCTTACTGGCAAGGAGGGCTTCTGTTTTTCACACACCTACCTAACCAAAGCCCTCCAGATGGGGACTGGCATCCCCAAAAGGACTTCCAGTGCTTCTGGGCACGGTTTGTTTTTGTTTTTGTTTTTGTTTTTTTAAATGTTTTTATTCATTTCTAGGAGAGAGAGAGACAGCGTGAGCAGGGGAGGGTCAGAGAGAGAGGGAGTCACAGACTGAAACAGGCTCCAGGCTCTGAGCTGGCAGTCAGCACAGAGCCCGATGCGGGGCTCGAACCCATGAACCGCGAGATCATGACCCAAGCAAAAGTCGGACAGTTAACCGACTAAGCCACCCAGGCACGCCTCTGGGCATGGTTTTTACCA